CTAAATTAGTGATAGATTAAAATGCCTTACAGGAGCATATTGCATATTGATTTGTCTCTTAGGGAAGACAGACATTTTTTTTTCCTACACGATATCTTGCATAGTTTTAATTCACTTTTTCAAAGCCCTTAGAAAAATATCAACCCAGATGCAGTCCAACTAAATGAGAACTTTTAATTGGTACATCTGATTTAATATTTTGCTAATTTTTATTTTTTATTTTATTAAGATTTTATTCCAAAACTAAATGCATTCTTTATCCACCATTGCAAATTTACCTTAACATTTTTCCAAGTTTGTCTCAGAGATTTCTGTTTAGATGTCAAAGTACTAATTACTTCTTTAAATGTGCTGTGATTTATACTTAAAGTAACCATTCTGTAATGACACATGCAGGAAATCCAATGACATTTGAGAACAATAGAAGAGAAAAAAAGGAACCAGACACATTCTTTCCTAACCATCCCCCAAGACATCATTTCACAAGTGAAGCATGTGCTGAGGCTGCTGACCTAGTCAAGGGTCATTCATTTACTTCAGAGTTGAGGAATGTCTTAAAGCCTCTTGGATAGCAAAAATCATGTTGAAGTTGTGTTTGTATGAGGAAAGAGTAAACCAACAGAGTAGAATAAAAGTCCAGAAAATCATATAATCAATAGTTTTATATTAAGGAGGAAAGATAGTATTTCTGATAAGTGACTCTGATTAATGGATGGCAAAATATTAAAATAATCTTAATCTCCTATTTCATATCAGGTACAAATAAGAATTGCAAAGAAAGCGAGAGCGAGAGAGACAGAGACAGAGACAGAGAGAGACAGAGAGAGAGAAGAAAACACAGAGCATCTTCAAGACAAGACTTTGGAGTCTATAAATAGTTTTTTAACCAGGATCCAATTTTCAACAACATGGAAGAAATTATGAATTTCTATATTAATGCTGGGAACTTCTAGGTATCATCAACACAGATGAGTCTGTGGCCATACCACTCTGAACATGCCCAATCTCTGCTGATCGTGGAAACTAAACAGGGTGGAGCTTCATTAGTACTTGGATGGGAGACCACCAGGGAAGACTGAGTGCTGTAGGCTACTGGGCAGTCGAGGTACAAGCTTTAATCCCAGCAGAGGCAGGCAGATCTCTGTGAGTTTGAGGCCAGCCTGGTCTACAGACTGAGTTCCAGGACAGCCAAGGCTACACCAAGAAACACTGTCTCAAAGGAAAAAAAAGACAGTTTAAAAGCATAGTTCGCAGAGTGGAAATAGTATTTTATGTATATCTATAAAGGAATTTGTGAAGAAAATGCAAAATCAATTCCTGTGAATCAAGAAGAATGGGACACAGCTCAACAAGCAACTAGATATAAACATAAAGAAAGAGTTTTGGGTAAATGGAAGACCAGAAACTGTCTCCATGTGAGGCAGTGGAGGAGAGGACCAGAATAAGAAAAAAATCTAACTCCACTGCAAAGAGAGGGAGATCTTTGGGTTTCTACATAGGATGTGATAGGATACATGAAAAGAACATAAGAAAAGATGTAACTAGTGAGATACAAACAGTGTCAGTCACCCAGTTCCATGACCTGAAGAGAAGCATCTGAAGATACTTTGAAGAGCAGTTAATTTTCTTCTCACTGAGCAATACTGAGACTTCAAAGGCAGGCTGATCAATAAGAACATCACCCCCAAAACTAGAGGAGACACAGAAACCAGCATATGCACACATTGTGACCTAATAAACATGAGACACCAGGAAAAGCAAGGAAATACGACTTTCAAAACATCATAACTCCTTAACTACTGCCCACAAATATAGTTAAATAGAAAAAAAGTGACAGAAAATTTCAAAAGTGATCTGATAAAAATGGTAAATGGCCCAAAATAGACAGAAAGAAGCAGATGTTATCAGTCTAAACCAGAGGGTGGGTAAGGGTATCAGCAAAATAGAAAAGGTCAGTAAAATGGATGAGAAAAAAGCAATATGGGTAAAAAAATGTCATCAACATGGATGGAAAACTCAGCAACGAAAATCAGATTTTAAAAATTAAAAATGTTGAAAATTAAAAACTGAATGAATCAATTTTTTCAAAAAGGGAAAGCATCTCCAAAACTCAGCCAAAGCATTTCAGGAATGGTGAATCAGTTTGGTGAAATACTATGTTCAAACATCAATAAGGGAAAAAATAAACATGAGTACAATGTCAAAAATCTTTGGGCTACACTGAAGAAAATTATCTCAACCATCCATGAGTAGAAGAAGCTGAGATAAACACAAAATAAGAACTGAGAATATACCCAAAGAATTATGGCATGAAAGTTTCCAAATCTAGTGATGGGAATAGAGCCCAGTTAGTTACATTCCTGCCTCACATGCAGGAGGCTCTAGACTAGATCTCCAGATACACTGGGTGTGGCTATACACTTTGGGGGTTGGAAGCCAGAGGATCAGAAATTCAAGGACAATATCAGACTACAGAGCAAGTTAAAGGGCAGCCTCTGCTACCCAAGACCCATCTCAAAATAGGCAAAAAGACAGGACAGAGGAAGAAGCTCATGAATCATTGCAGAAGAGCAAAAGAAAGATTTGAAGAGCCAGACATGGATATGGTGAATGACTAAAAAGAAACTTTTTCCCAGAATATGAACTCACACAATGTGTGACAGCATGCACAACACCTGATCAAGCTCAAGCCAGACAGAATCCCAGGACGAAGTCCCAAGCCTAGCTAAAGAGCTGTTATCAAGTGATGGCTGCTGGAAAAGGAACAGTCAGTTTTCTTTAAGGGTGTGACCCCTGGTAGATCGACCATGCTCCAGTGGAAAATCACACACTTAAGAATACATGAGCCGGGCAGTGGTGGCGCACGCCTTTAATCCCAGCACTCGGGAGGCAGAGGGAGGCGGATCTCTGTGAGTTCGAGGCCAGGCTAGACCGACAACCTCCAAAACAATACAGAGAAACCCTGTCATGTAAAAAAAAAATACATGAGCATCACAAGTTGGACTTGATGAGCTTTAAAAAAAATGGGCACAAAGTTGGGTGAGTAAGAAGTTGAGTGTGGGTCTAGGAGGAGGTGGGGGAGAGGATGCATTTTATGAAAATACAAGGTATGAAATGATCTAAAAACTAAAGAAAAATAAAACCAGAATGCACCAAGAAGATCATAGACTACACCCAAGGTGGCTTCATTCTAGGGATGCTGTTTCATTCTACGTGCACAAATCTTTAAGTGAAATGCTTCACTAAAAGTTAGAAATTACATGATCATCTCAGTAGAGACAAAAGGCTTTTTGTTCAACATCCTTTCTGAATAAACCAAGAATAGAAGGAGCACACTTCAACATAATGATAGAGTATATATATCACAAGTCTACAACCAATATTATATTAAGTGAAGAAATACTCAGAACATTCTATCTAAAATCTGGAATAAGACAAGGGTACACACTCTATTTTCAGTCAGTTCTTTAATTTTTTTGGAGGAAAATGGATGCAACTGGAGGTTATTGTATTAAGTGAATGAAGCCAGACTCATACAAGTATCAATTTTTTCTCTTATATGTGGATTCTTGACTTAAAAATCATTATATATATATATATATATGTGTGTGTGTGTGTGTGTGTGTGTGTGTGTGTGTGTGTGTGTGTGTGTGTGTGATGAAATTAGAAAGGTGATCAAGAGAGGAGGAGAACACCTTATGAAAACCAGCCTGAGTGGGACAAGGCACACAGAAGACAGTGGGAAAAGAAATAATGGGAACACACTCCAATGACAAATATGAAAGTGCCATAGTAAAACCTGTTTTGTATGCTATCATAAAAATTATTTTCATATCATTTAAATATATATAAAGGAACATTTCACAAAACAGGATATCCATTGAGCTAATAAACACAAAATCAGCAAATTTCATTATCAAATAGAAAAATGTTACTTTATTTCATTGTGTGTGTGTGGGTTTGTGTGTACAAGTACATGCATGTCACAATGCACATGTATAGGTCAGAAGACAACCTCAGATGTCATTCCTAATCTTTCACCTTGTATGAGGCACGGTCTTTGTCGCTTACCCCTGTATACACCAGGCTAGTTGACCTGTGAGCTTCCAGGGATTCACCTTTCTCTACCTCCCATCTCATTATAGGAGGAATGGGACTGATTTCTAACATGCGGAGTTTTATATCAGTTCTGGGGATTTGAACTCATGTCCTCAGACTTATGCAGCAAGTATTTTACTCACTGAACCATCTTTCCAGCCTGGAAATGTTATTTTGAAAACAGTGATATACCACTGAATACTCAATGGAATGAAAAAGACTCTGGGCCTTGTTAAGAAGAATGTAGAAATGGAGCCTCCACATACAAACCCAGGAACTGTGTATAGACAGTCTTCAGCACTCTGTCCTAACCTAGCATCTAAGCATGTCTCAGCTTAGGACCCAGCATTCCTATGTGTTACAGAAAGAGTACATCAAGAATATTCATATTCCCAAGCCCTTTCCCCCAGGAGCACCAATGTCTCAGTTTAGGACCCAGCATTCCTATGTGTTACAGAAAGAGTACATCAAGAATATTCATACTCCCAAGCCCTTTCCCCCAGGAGCACCAATATGTACCTCTCTGCCTTGAAAAAAATCTGTAGTATAACACATAGCATGTATTGATTATTCCAATTGACCATAGTACTCTTGAAGGTTGGATCTGAATACCCATTCATGAGTAGAAAGAATAGATAAATGGTCATGTATTCATGAGTTTTTGAGACAATTGGAAACTGTGGAGATATTGTGCACATACAACATAATTGGGCGATTGGTAGTGATTTTTCTGCAAGTTTTTAGAGGGACTAGGAGCAGGAGGGGGGACTAGGTTGCACACATATTTTGATTGTTACTTCAGAATCATTCAATTTGAGGAAAAGAATCAGGATGGACAGCTTGTAACATGTTCATAAACCTGAACCCTATAATTTATGGATAAAATAAAATCTCATTACAAGTTACTGCATATTTCCATTTATTCTGATTACATTTGAAGAGGCAGATTTTACATGATAGCTTCAAACCAACATTAACCAAATTTTACACAAGCCATTTGAAAAAAGATCTAAAAATGTGCTTAGTTATTGGTATTATATAACATTTATCAAGCACCAAGAGTGTGCTGAGAGCTGTACAGAACAAACATAGAAAGACACAATCCCTGCCTTCAAGGAAACCCATCCCTTTAGGGTCTTCACATAAAACTTTGCCTTACATTTCACACTCAATTGTTCATAAGGCATAAATAAGGAAGGTTACTTTATTTCTCACTGTACTTAATAAATATCTTATACTCTTCAGTTATACCAATAGTTACTCAAATCTTTGCCTTAAAATACAAATTTCTGTAGTACAATATACAGTATATAATGATTTGGTATTCACACAATTGATCACAATATTCTTGTAGGTTGGTTATATTAATAGTAGGAAGCATGTTGAATTCCAACATTTATATTCTCATACCATTAAACCATTAGCAGAGGGGTTTGTGCAGTAATATAAGCAAATAAGGTGTCACAAGGAATTAAGACAATGGCAACAATAGTACAGATATTCAGAACACTGATTATTTTTATCATATCTATTAAGCTGGCCTTGCAGGTATTATTCATATGGCTGCATGCTCTAAAATAATAAATAATTTATGATTAGCTGGCGGCGGATGATGTGTGATTGGCTTTATTGTAACAGTAGTTTAAACAAGAGAATGCTAGAATAAAATTCCTGATAGCAGAGAGCTAAAAATTTCCTTTGATTGGTGGTTGCTTTTCTGCAAGGCTGTGTTCAAAACAAATTTAGATCAGTAAAAAGGATGAAATGATTCTGAATTTCATCATGGATTGAGACATCTGATTGCAAAATAATCCTTTCAATGATAAAGTCATCTGATTAGTGTTATAAGTGCAAAAGAAAAAAGAAAAGAAAAAAGGAAGAAACCCAACCAAAATGAAGTGAATTTGTAGCATGAAGTGACTGTAGATTTGGGTGCAAAATATGTATTTTCTGTAAAGAATTATAGAGTAAAAGAAGATGGCACTCAGTACAGAAGGCCAGTCAGTTACCATCACCGGGGAAGGGGGGCAGTGCATTGCAACAAGGAAATGAGGGGAACATATTATACAAAGGGATATATACTTTGTGTCAAGTAAACTGTCTCACTTCATTATGAAAATTGAGTATTTGGGGAAGCTAGGGTGGGCCTGGGATCTAAGACAAGCAAGTTTGTGGTCAACAAGAAAGAGATCTAACTATAAACACAATCTTTTATGGATTCTGAGACTCCAGGCATCCATGAGTTCATAGATATGGCAAAAGCGTGGTCCTTCAACACCAGCCCCAGTACTACCTGATGGAGGATAGCTGCTTTCCAGAGAAAATCTCCTTCTTTACTTTGCCCTTCATGATCTGGCTCCTGGGTTATTACTGGGTCTAGATGCCTTCATTATGTGACAACATTGAATTGGACTTATACTGGATTTTGAGTAAGATTGTATTTCTTTGGCTACCTCCCTAGAAAGAAAAGGGTATTAGAAAGCTCTATAGGGTTCTTTGACTTCTATGTTTGAATTAGGTTTATAGTCATGCCCTCTCTAGGTAGCTAGGCACATGACCCACGTAGGGCCCATTAGAAATTAGTTTACCCTAGGGCAGTGTCAATGGAAGAAGTGTCATTGGCTTCATTATATCAGCGGTTTCATCAAGGGAGTGCCATCTGGTTCCCATAATCCCATCTGTCAAATGGAGGAGTTGTGTTTGACAACATTTTTATTATTCTGGTAGAGTACATCTCTTCTGTTCCTAAAATCACAGATCAAGAAGTTGAAAACTGCTATCTCTGACTCTCTGACAGTTTCATCTGTGGTGTGGGGCAGAATGGTGACTTCAGAATGTGGTACAGTCATTGTTAACAAGGAAGAGAAGCGACAGGGACTCCAAAGAATGTAACACTGTATCCTCTTTAAAGGGAAGAAAACAACCTTATTTGAAGGGCCCAAACCAAAACAGAGCACCAAAAGACTAAAATTCTGACAATGTTCATGTATGCATGCATGCGGGCATGTGTGCATGTGTGTGTGTGTGTGTGTGTGTGTGTGTGTGTGTGTCTGTGTGTGTGTATTCATTTTCAATGACAAGTCCTCCATTCTAAGGCTTAAGTTTCAGTCACCTACTTGAAGACCCATTAGTAAACATAACATGTCAATAGAAACAGATACCATGAAGACCTCTAAAAACAAAGGCTACCTACAAGTGAGAAAATTCATCCGTCATCTGTTAGCATCATAAGATTCACTAGTGACAACATGATCTGGTGCAGCAAGCTCAGCATTTTTGGAATTATTTAGGATGGATAGTGGACTCCTATTGCTTTAGAAATGAAAAGGCTTCTCAAATTCCACTTGCAGAAAGTGTGTACATTTTTCAAAGTGACTATCCTTACTACTAAAATGTATGTATATGCCAGTTTGTTATTAAATGAATTTAAGGTTTCTAGATTCTGTCAATCATTTTTCTTTAATTTGCAGTAAGACATTAGACACAGATGTTGATAAGGAGTCTTTCTGCCAATTATTGTCAAAGCACCAGTCAGGTAGAAACAGAGATCAACTCTTAATAAAATTACAACAGCTTCTTGTACACTTGGAAAAATCTTGCTCTCAATTTACTTAGCAGTGAAGACAATAAACAGAAATCAGATACTTAGACATGTAGATAGATGATTAAATAGATGCTTTTTTGCACTGCTGACGAATATTCAAAATTCTGGAGTAGATGTTGTAGTTGAGTAGACCTTAGTGCCTTTATTACATTATTAAATAAGCATTCCTTTTAAAGCCACTGCAAATGGTTGGTACCAGTGGTGGATGGAAACAATGGTTTAGAGTTAAAATGTCAAAGTGTCACCATTGTCTCTGCTCTTCAAGGCACAAGGACAAGTTCCAAACTCTTTATAGTAGAGCATCGGGTTTCACCAAGAGTTAGAAAATCAAGGAACAGAACCACATGCCAGAGCAAGAACAGAACATCCTTTGGGGTGACTGAGACCTTCAGATGTTGAACATACCCCAACAGGCAAGCTTCCCCACACCATGTTGGGGACAACAGGAGCGTGGCCTATTCTGAGTATCTTGGCCCATACTGCAAAAAGAGGACACTGTATATCATGCTTGGCGTGGAAGTGCAGCTCCTTCTTGCCTGGGCCCAAGAAGAAGGCTCAGAATGCTGCTAGGAAGAATAGCAGAGATTCAGATGTTCTACAGTGACAGTGACATAAGGGCAAGAAGGCAGTCAATAGCCCTTGATAAAAGCCGAAGAGAAGCCACATTCTTGGTGGACACAATTCCATTTATTTCACCAGCAACAATCTTAGAGTGTTAAGGAAATTGATTCCACCCCTCCTTGGCATTTTCATGATTGTGCAACTATCAGCTCCTCCAAAGAGCAGGTACTGGATCTGTTCTGCATAACTTAATGCCCACCATGAATCATTATCATACTGAAAGAAGCCAATTAGTCTTCTTTTTTTTTCTTTGCTTGAAATATTCAATTTTATATACTGATAATCCATGGCATTCCTTACATGGGAAAAGATATTATATTTTTAAAAATATATCAGAGTCTAACTACAGCTAAGTTTAGCAGCTAGGTATATTTCTTTCTAGAGTATATACTCTCTGAAAATGTTTGTCAGCTCTGTAGAAAAGCATCTGGGATTTGTTTTCTCTATTTCAACAAACTGTAGCCACACTGAAGTGAGCTTTTGAAATCCAGAAGAAGACAATGAAGGTTGTGAGCTGCATGTAATGTTGGGTCCACAGGTTCAGGACTTCATCGTGCAGATGGGCACAACAATGACAAGAATGACCGTGCATGCAGCAGCAGTAATGAGAGCAGCGATCTTGCAGACCTTGGCTCGTCTGAATTCAGCTTCTTTCCGTTTTAGCAATGAATCATAGCCTGGAGTATAAATATCTTCCATCCAGTATTCTAAGTTGTTTGGGTTTAAAGATTCTTGAGTCTAAAAGAAAAGAGATGTTAGAAATACAGTTAATACTTGAAACCTGGTCCAAGACATCCTGGCGATTTCCACTCCTGGAACATTTAAAAGTTGTCTGCAGCTGTGGCTAGGTAACAGCATCATAGGATGCTTCCCCACCAGGTCTGTGCCAGCAAAAGGCCTCCAGAGACCCATCCATGCACCATAGACTGCACTGGCTCCCCCCTCACTAAAACTGACATAAAACCCAGAGGTCATCTCTGTATAAGTAAGCAAAATGGCCAAGACAAGACTCAACTTCAAGGATATGTGACCAAGAGTAGGTTGGCTCTACCTTAAGGGAAGAAAAAAAAATCGTTGAAAAACGTTCTCTACCACAGACCTCTCAGAACAGATCTGCTTGAAGCAAGACCATCTTATCATTTCTAGTCAGCCCATTTCTCATAGCTTCTACTGAAAATCAAAGGCACCTCTAGCTCAATAAAAATGTAAAATATTCCCATTTCAAGCATTTGCATGAGCAGGTTAGAACACTGTTCAAAGTAAAGGACTGCAGACCCATGGCAGACTGTCCCCACCCTGGACCTGTGTTGTTGATGATCCTAGACTAAGTGGCCTTTCCCCCAAAGCCAGCTCCTACAGCAAATGCCTATCCAATATTATTGCATTGTCTGCAGAGGAAGTATCACATTTAGCCTACATTTCCCATGAACCCCATTGCACATTGATGGCTATAATCTATTTCCATGAAGCATAGCTATGTTCTTGCTTTATGATAAGCATTTAGTAACATGTCACCAAAAAAAGAGACAAACATTACAGTCCCAAGTGAGGCCACTTAAATCTCTAAATCACAAAACCAAATACCCATCGTGAGAAGGGTTCTTGGATTGCTTAACTTTTATAAACATGAGAGCGTTAAAGTCACACATACAAGATCAAAATCAAAAGCAGACCCGAAGCCTGCAGCACAAAGAAAGCTCGGCTGCGGCACACTGTTGCTGGAGTAGCATGACCCTAAATCATGTTCAGCACTGTCCACCTGCCCTTCTTTCTGCACCCTGCTCTGTGCCCACTGGGACCACAGTGTGGGCTCTGTCATAAAGGAGTCAGAGCAGAGAAAGGTGGAGTGATGGTTCTCCTGGACTCTGACTTGCAGAGCTGTGGGCTATGGTGGATTTCATAAACAGCCTCCTGCTCTTGGATCTTCAGACCCAAGAGAGGTAGCAGGTTCTTCAGTCTGCTCCCTGGGTGTTTCACTGGCTATTGCTGGTCCTTAAGCTGCTCACACCACGGTGAATGGTCCCCTTTCCATCATCCCCTTGGGCATGCCATCAGCTTGCTGCAGGTGCTGGCAACTCACTGCCATCCAGTCTCGAGATTCCATCCCTCCTGTTGTTTGGGGGAGGAGTCCATGGGCTGTGGCCTGCAAGCCAGTTCCAGCTGGCCTTCTGTCTATACAGTCCTCCAACTCCAAATGAGTTTTCTATTTTTAAGTCATTTAAGTAAATCAAATGAAGATAACATTTGATGACATATAAAAAATGATGTGAAATGCTAAGTTTGATGTCCAAAAGTAAGGTTATCAGAGTAGTCGAGCACATCCATTTACAAACCATCTGGAGCCGCTCTGGTGCTCCAGAGGGTAAGATGGGCAAGCTGGACAACATTGTACAGTGGCAGGAATAAAAGAACTTAGTAAGGCTGGCTTCAACAATGTTTGTAAATTCGTCAAACTATATAGAAGGACAGAAGGCAATGCTGGCCACCCATGATACCCCTAATATAAACCAAAATATCCTTGATGTGGGGAAAGCCTGTAAATGTCTTTGTAAGAAACTCCTAGGGCTTAGTGTTCACTGCTGGAGTCTAGGAGCCTCTCTCTGGAACTGATCTAAACAGTTCTGCAATGACTAAGCTCTGCTATTTAGAACTATAACCCCCCATACACATGCGTGCAAATATACACATATGCAAACATAGTCTTACATACATTTATGCATAAATGCAACATACACACACAATTCATATGCATGTGTATATATACCTACACACACACACACACAGACAAGCTCTGGTCATTATGGCTTGTCTGGGGGAAAGAGCAGCTTTCCCCCAATTTCCCAGGGCTGGCCCAGAAGAGATGAAACACACAGGGCACAGAAAATCTTGTGGTTTGTCACCTCCCCTCCATCTCAGAGAGAGAGAAATTTCCTCCTTTCACAGTTATCTATACTTCGCTATGGGCCTGTGAAATAAACTATTTTAATTAGTTTTTTTTCAATAACTTCAAGCTGTAATGGCACCACAGCACAGAGAGGTAATACCCAGGTTCCCAGAGACACCATACACAAACTCACTTGTTAATTAGGCCTGCCAAATGATGAAAATAAAGCCAGGCTTACACCAGTGCCTACCCCCTCGGTGGACAAAAATGGGCCCCAGGAAATCTGTTCCAAAGCTAACCTGGAGCAGCATTTTTACCTCTGCAAAGCAATGCAAACAAATAAGCCGGTGCCCCACTGCCCCACCTGCCTCCGCTGTCTGCTCTGCTTTTCGCCAGGCAATGGCGCTGGATAATCTGTCCTTCCACTGTTAGTAGAGTCGCCTAAACTCTGTAACCCAAATGTCCGTTTCTAATTTATCCTTTCTAATTTTATCTTTATGCTTTCAAACCCTGGCACATTCAAACTGCATGTGTTTATAGATACAAAATCCCCCAGCTCTCTCTCCATAAACTTTCAAAATCTGTTTTCAAGGTCAGTCTCCAGGGCATGGTGAAATATTGGTTTTTGCAACCTGTTGGGCTGTTTCTAGGTGTTTTCTGGCTAGTAGCTTCTAATAACCTAAGGCACACTGTCCGAGGGGCACAACATACAGCAGAGTGGCAGAGAAGTCTGCTGGTGGGAGACTCAAGTCGTGGTGTAACCTGTTTGTCATCAGGAGGATGACAGGGAAGGCAGCAGCCCAAATGGACAAGTGGCAGGTGTGGAGATACTATTACATAGAGTAGGAGGGGTGAGGGGAAGCTTAGGGTGCTCCTGCTGCCACCACAGACCTCTTTTCCAGGAATGGCTCCCTTGAATTGCTATCATTTAGGATTCCGGATATACATGTATGATTGCAATCCTTTTCTTTTCTGTTTTCTTCTTCTTTTTATTTAAATTAGAAACAAGCTTGTTTTACATGTCAATCCCAGTTCCCTCTCTCTCCTTCCCCTCCCCCTGCTCTCCACAGAACCCCTATCCCATCCCCTTTCTGTTCCCCAAGGAGAGTGAGGCCTTCCTTGTGGGATCTTCATAGTCTGTCATATCATTTGGAGCAGGGCCTAAAGCCGTCCGGCGGTGTGTCTAGGCTGAGAAAGTATCCCTCTATGTGGAATGGGATCCCAAAGTCCATTCATATACTAAGGATAAATACTGATCCACTGCCAGAGGTCCCATAGATTGCCCAGGTCTCCTAACTCACACCCATGTTCAGGGGGTCTGGATCAGTCCTGAGCTGGTTTCCCAGTTTTCACTCTGGGGTTCATGAGCTCCTGCTTGTTCAGGTCAGCTGTTTCTGTGGGTTTCTCCAGCCTGGTCTTAACCTCTTTGCTCATCACTCCTCTCTCTCTGCAATCAGATTCCAGGAGTTCAGCTCAGTGTTTAGCTGTGGGTGTCTGCTTCTGATTGCAATCTGTTTGTCTGAGATTAAGTACTGTTAAACTCCTAGAAACAGCAAATGGAAATACTACAGAGGAAGAGAAGAGGAAGAACAGGAGACGTATTGTCCAGTTGCCCAGACCTGTCTGATGGGCCAACTCACTGAACTTCCTGCTTCCATTGTTTCCTGATTTATAAATTGCAGATGGTCAGAGCAAGGCCTGCCTCACAGGCAGCTGTGCCTGGAACTAACTAAAAGATGGGTGTGAAAAGAACTATGTACACTGACTGACTACAGAATCCTCTACCAACTCCCACATGCCACCCCTTCCAATGCCAGTCAGTGCCAGGGTCTTCATGTATATTATTTTCAGTTCTCGCAACAGTGCCATTAAGGTGGATGTTTTTATGCCCATGTCACAGGTGAGAGGACCAAAGCTGAAGCAGGTGAAACAGGTGCTCCAAGTCACAAAGTGCTCTTAAGAAGGTTTGGATTAGGTCTTGGCGCTGCCCAAACCCATTGTCTCTTCTCTGCCACATGCTGCCCCTCCCGCACCCTCTTCTATAGAGAAAGGCCATAGCATAAGAGCCTTGCCACAGTGGGCCTACAGACATGCTCCAAGTGCACAGGCTGTCTGGAGATAACTCATCCCTTTGGTGCTATGGCCCCTCTCTTTCCATACGGTTAAGCCCACAGGTGACCACAGTGGTTCCTTTGCAGTGGTGTAGAAACATAGACAGACGTGCCGTGAATGGAACCACTTAGAGCTGCCCACCAAAATAAAAGTGCAGCCAAAACCCAGCCCTGTGGTGAGTGAACAAAAAAGCATGCCCTCTAGCCATAATGGCATTCATAGACCTTCCAGGGATGGCTCTTACCTGGGGCGGCTCCATATGGAAACATAATCCATAGCTTGGCTCCCACAAACATGCTTATCCCACGTGCTACATATGGAAGGAGAAATCAGCTTGTGTTTCATTAAACAGTTTGGCTCAGGTCTTGTGAGCAAAGATTAGCATTTGCACTTGGTTGTAAATGCATCATTAGCAAATAGGATGGCCAATAAATAAATACATCAAGCATCCTCGTAGTTAAATGCTTACAAACAAATAGGCAATGTATAATTCCCCTTGTTTAAAACAACAACACCTCTCTGCTCTCTTGATTTATTAAAGTTCAGAGTTCTATGGCATGGACCCGGGAAAATTGAAGGTTGAGGGAGTGGCCAAATTTAAGTCATCCACACAGCCCATGACTAGGCTCCTCCCACCCGGGAACAGTGAGGCTCACCTGCAGGTCCAGGGCTGTCAGCTTGCCCTTGTCACCAGAGTTCCGAGCATACTCCTCTATGGTCCAAGAAGGCTGGCCCCGCTTAACCTCAGCTAACTCAGTCAGTCGCATGTCTGTATATAAGGGGTTGCTCCTCATGTGGGCCTTGAGGGAGGCAGGGTAAGGATGTGGACTGAAAACTTGCTCCACCAGGAAGCCTTCTTTGGGCTGCTTGGGCAGTCGGTGCTGTGGGGGAATATCATACTGCCTGTCTGCCTGCAGAGGAGCACAGAAACATACAGAAAAGCCACAGAGGTGCCATCAGGTTTGAGCAGGCACCCAGCTTTTTATCAATGAGATCCCAGTAGACACCCAGGTAGCACCATGGATTGACTTATGAACCCATAGAAAGTCTGCCTATTGGAGAGACATTCTTTAAAGAGAGCTTCAAATCCTGTATTACTAATGAAAGCAAACGTTTCCACACCTAGAGAAAGTTCTTCATAAGCCAATCCGTACACCGTCTTCACCACAGTCAACTCCTCTTGTGCACTCAATCATTGGAGCTCAGATAGATTCCATTATTTGTCTGAGAACACACAGCCAAGAGGGGTTTTTAATCTAATCAGCTAGCTTTGAAGTCTTTGGTTGACACTTGTATAGTAATACCCCTTCTTTTCTGTCCCATTTTATACCTGGACTCAGTGAGGAAGAGACACAGGTCATTCTTCAGGGAATTACTTAAAGCTCTGCTGAGAGACTGCCTTGGAAGAGAAACGCCAAGCTGGAAATCCCACATGGAAGTGTCTAGTGACTGTCCATGATGACATGCGGCCCTTTCCAAGGTGTCTGCAGAACACTTAAGATAAAAGACGAGCTTGAGCAGCTGTGTGGAGGTGGATGTTTCTAACAAGGCTGGATGTCAGTTATGGAGACACATCCCCAGCTACTCTGATCCCAGTGAACCCATACGGTCAGGACCTCTGATCTTTTTCATATCCGTCTGGTGGCCACTGGTTTTTCACATAGATGACCCTCCATCCAGTGTTCCCTCACAAATGGACTGGGTTTATCTCTGTGATCGTGGAGGGTTGTGTACAGACCCTTCAGCCAGAACTTGCCACACTAAACTGTAGCTGCTTGTCTTCCAGCCTGCCTCCTCCGCTGGACTTTGAGTTTCTCCCAGGAAAGGGAAGAGCTTGCTTGTCATTTCATCCTGGCTCCAACAAAATGGTACTAATAAATAGGGCAGTGCACCACGATTTGTCCAAGGGATGGAAACTAATGATATGGGACTAGGGGTACGAGAAAGGAAGCAAAGCATTCTGTATGAAACGATTGAAAGAGGAAAAGAAGAGCATGAAGTGACAAATGAACACATGATGAGCAGATGTGTGCTACTGTGAGTGTGTTTATCACACACCTACACATGGGCTAAAAGCACATATCAGCACACCTGATCCACCAGCTCATGCCCAGAAGTAACGCCGCTCAGCTATTGAAATCCATTGAGGTCATTGAGGCTACTGACAGAGACACAGGCTGAGGTAAATCAAGCAAGAAGATGGGGTTCCTTCTCGCTTTCTGACTCATCAAGGCCAGGGATTTTTTAAAGAGGCTACACTGCTTCTATTTACTCTGTTCATTTATTCCTCCCCAGTCCTAATGGAAGCAGATCTTGCAAAAAGCTGGGGGCAGCAGAAATTCCCAGGACAATAATGTTAGTGGTCTCCACTGGGATGGCTGAATATCCACCACTCGGTCTAGTGGTAGATGTGCAGCATTTCATATCAGCTTCTTGTTCACATTCCAGCATCACAACTGAAATTATCCCCATTTGGATGTGAAAGATCATGTCAGAGAGGTTGAAAGATAGACTCAATGCTGCACAGCTGGGAAATGACAGAGCCAGGATTTTGAACCATTTCACACTTCTGAGAACATCTCATTGAGGGCCAGGCCTATTCCGACTACTGATGGGCTTATACTCTAGGATGGTAGTCAGTATGTGTATACATGATCTATATGTTTCAGTAAATGTTTCCCCCCAGGACATCTGAACAAAGAGAGCTGAAAGTGGAAGGTAAGAGATGGGCAGCAGTCCCTGTAGAAGTGTCTAGATACATGTGAATGAGGAGGCCTTGAGGAGTGCACAGGACACAGAGGCTTGAGAATGCCCAGATCAGCACCTGCCATTCTCACTTTATTCTAAGCATGGAGGAAGTAGACCAGACAATCTTGATATAGGAATTATGAAAAAAAGTTTGATCATATAACAAAGTCTGGTCATAAGAGTCACTAAAGTATTTGCTAAGTAGGTGACTGAGTGAATAGCCATAACATTTTTGAGGAAATACAAGTGTATTCATCAAGACACGCATACACACACACACACACACACACACACACACACACACACACACACACACACACACAAAGAATTCAAAAGCCTGGATAAGAACTTAGAGATTTTTGCTGAGGCAAAGAAAATCTGCAAAGGGTTTGGAAACAAGAGGCACTGCATACCTGTAGATGGTAGTTTTAGGGACCTGAACAGAGAGGTAGCCCTTAAGATAAAGCGGGAGATGGAGGGTTGGTTTGCAAGCCCCAGGCAGGATATGAAAACTGGACTGGAGGATACCAAAGGGTAAACAAGGCAGAGATGAAAAAGACATCACAAAAGGTAGATACATAAGAGCTGGAAGCTAGACTGAGCATGTGTAAGCCATGCCTCCTGGGGAGCTCATCTGTTGGGGAAACTCTTGGAGCGGTGGCCAACCCCACAACAGAAAGGAAGGAAAAAACACTAGGCACAAAAGAAGATAACATATAATATGACATTGGAGGACTTTGACCTGGGCAGGGTGACAGGTCCTTTGGAAAGCCTGGTCTTCAGCAATTTCTGACACTGGACCAAAGTTGAAACAGTGACCAAAGCTGGTAAGCCCAACAAGGGTCATCAACAAGAGGTGGCGAATGACAAGAGGAGAAGTCAGAATGAAAATAGCCATACAGTACAGAGGGCTTACTTCAAACAGTAGCAGCTTGCTGTAAGGCTTTTCAAGTGGACTGTATTTAAGGTTGCAGCTAGTCCTGCTGGTTTGGTGAAGTATTGGCACTTCACAGATTAGAAGTCAGGCTGACTTCTAATGTAGTTTTCTAATACTACAAAGGACCTAACCATGTGAGTCCTCTCTTACGGCCATTCTTCAATGTTATATAAGACCCTGGGCTCCAGAAATCTGGCCTTAGTCTGGTGTCTGTGGCAAGCAGCTTAGGGAAAAGAGCACCATGGGATACAAGGGCTCCTTTGGGATAAAATAATAATAATGTTCCATCAATTGTCTCTTCCCCCACATTCTAGACCCTGAATTCAAACCCATTTTTGCAAATTTGTCCTTCTTGACATCACTTAGGAAAACCATACCTCTTCTTTGGCTCAACACCTTTGAGCCCTACCCTGACTACTCCCTCCCCTAAGAATCTAGTCCTCCGAGACCCTGGGAGGGCAGCTAACGGCCTGCCCAATGACAGTAGAAGCATAAGTGGCATAGACTCTGTCAGGCATAGACATTGGACCCCATTTAGAGTGAAGAAATCAGATGCATGTCCCCTGGAACAGTCCCTTTCACCACAGGACAGAAAAAGGAAGTATCTGAACAGGAATTCCAGTGTGGTGGAGTGATGTCTGTGGTAAATGATCAAAGGTAACCTTCACATGAGAAGTGTGGAGCACCTATTACAGAGGAAAAAGAGACAACTAAAGAGGAAAAGGAGACTGTTTTGATTGGCTGCTTTTTCATGGTGGAACAATGAAAGTGTTTCCTTATTCTTAGTAATCAACTATCTTATAGTGAAAAGGCTCCTATTTTCAAAAGCAACAGCATGCACACAACAAAATTCATACAGGGGACCTATCAGCAAGGACATTTGCAAACCGCTTCTCATGTTTGCCTGGTGCAGATCCTACTGCTTCAGCAAGGACAAGAAGATAACCTTGATGATGCCTGCCTGCCTTGATGTGCTCCCCCTTTTGTGAAATCCTTCTCACACCACCTGCCCAATATCCCAACTGTGCTGTCTACTGTTGGCAGCATCACAGCATGAGCTCCACCCAACTGACTGGCACCTTGGCAGAACAAACAGCCTGCCCATGTTGCCCTCTCTGTTCTAAATGTGCAGAGCCTGCCAATTCTGGATGGGGGACCAGCAAGGCAAAGTCACCAGCATGGCATATCTGAGGCTGTGACAATGCTGAGACCAATAGTGAGAACTTCAATTTCCATTACCTCCTTGGATTTCCGATGCCAGTCTTTATTATCACCTGAGCCTGCATCTTTTATCTCATCTTCATTGAGGCTCACGCGGTTGGTATAAGTGATGGTTCGCCAGTCTCTGGGAGAGTTGGAGATGCTGGCAATTTTGGACTCTGTGGCACTGTTCTCTTCGGTCAGGGACCTGGACGATGGCCTGGTAAAGAGACTTTTCTTTAAGGCCTTGACACGCAGGCTCTCACTATTGCTTCCACTGGCGTCGGAGCAGCACCAGTCAGGACTATTCTCTAACTTGGGCCCATGGGAGCCACTGTGTGCACGGAAGACCCTTGGAGAGACACTGTCATCAGAAGGGGCCTCACTGGTCAAGGAGTTCAGATCAATCTGTACATTCACTTTCTCCGGCTGCTGCATTTTCTGATCCAGTTGATTGAGTTTTCCAAGGACCTGGGAGATTTCCTCACGGACCCCTGACAGTGATTCCAGCTTCCGCTCGATCTCACCCATCCTGAGAACCAGTTTGCACACACTGGTCTTCAGCTCTTCTTCAGAACGGTGGACGTTTTCAGGCCGGTTGCACTTGTCTCCCTTGCTGCCCGAGACACCATTGGTGATCTTGGCAAGGTTATGCTCTGGAGAGCTGTCACAGTCTGACTTCGGAAGCTGAGACAAGGAGCCAGTGCTGTTGTAGCAGGATGACTGTATCACTCCCGTGGAGCCGCTGATGCTCATGTCATCAAGAAACCGGAAAATATCACTGATGTCGTCGCTGACTATTTCTGAGTCATCATCCGATTGCTTCGTGGCATGCTTGTCACTGTACTTGAACTGACCCAAAGTACACAAGTCCTTACACTTTGGGGGATCCAGCACATGCTGCTCTGTCTGGGTGCCCACGCTACTGGTGTCAGAGCTGTGCTGCCTACTGGTGCAACTGATGCTTTTCTCTTTAAACTTTTTGACTACTTCATGCTTCTCCAGGTCAACAGGGGAGGAGATCTCTTTAGATTTGAGTCCATTTGGTTTCACTGCATAGCCAGCAGGGAGAACCTTCTGTTGATCCTTTGGCACCAGGTAAGTTGAATGCCTGTCTGGGCCTGAGAAAGTGGGGGTCTGGCTACCAGAATTTGGATAGCGTAGCTTCTCTTCAGAGGGATTTCCATTGAAAAAGGACCGTTCAAAGTCAGGCACTTCCTCCGTGTTCAGACTCCAACTTTTGGCAGGCCATGGAGTCTGTTTACTGGACCTTCCTGGACAGCGCCTAGCATCTTGTGTTCCCATCACTGGAGTGGGTCCAAAATAGGTAGAGGCTTGGAGGTCATCTAGGCTTTCGTGCTTTGCCCGCCTTTTGTCAGGGATCGGAGAATACACTGGATTCAGGTACTGATTGTGGTAAGGCATCTCAAAGCTGTGGTTAAAGAAGGGTGTCTTGTGCAATTCCTTCTGAGTCTGCGTCTCCCCATGATCCCCCTCTGCTTTGTTAGTGGGACCAACCAAACTAGGGGATACAGTCATGAGATTGTGGAACTCTTCTTTGAAGATGTTCCTTTTCTGAACACAGGACTGAACCACAAATGGTTCCTCGCTGGGGATGAAGGGCTCCTTGATGCCTTGGCTGATGGACAGCGAGTCCTGATCTGAAATGGACTCATTCTCGATATTCATGGGGAAATAGGTCCTCTGCATCTCACAGGGCTGAGGGCTGGCCACGGAATATGGGGACAAAGCTTGCAGCCTGTCCAGAGATGCCGCGCGGTTTTTCACCTCTTTGCTGACACCCAACAAGAAGTTGGGCTCAGAGGCAGGGACAAACTGTGGGCATTCCTTGCAATCCCTCTTCCGGCATTTGGATGATTGCCTGGTGGGGTAGCCTCGACTGAAGGGCCTCTCGCCTAGCTCACAGTTCAGAGGCTCACAGACTGTCGGGCTGCACACCTCAGTGTCCGACCTGCAAGATTCAAAAGATGCCTCCTTCTTGCGCACCTTGGGGCAACTTGTGGGCAGCTTCTCCTTGGCAGTGCCCCCATTCATTTGGATCAGGTTGAAGATCGTCACGATATCTGCCGCCACCATGATCTTCTTCGACTGCTGATTATTTGCAGAGCACTTCATCTTGTCTTTGAATAACGTGGCTGGAAAGTTGGGGTCTAAACATGCTGTGTAGAAAAGCACACTTCTCAGTTTGGCAAGCTGAGACAGATCAAACTGGGCACATAGTGACTTGCACAGGTCTTGATAGGAAACAGCATTTTGCTTACTGTCCAGTTCTTCTAAGATCTTCACCAAAAAGAGAGAAGCTTCCTGACTGGCCTCCATTATTTAGAATTTGCAAGCTCACTGACTGCACTGGAACACAAGTCAGTTCTATAGTAACAACAGCAGAAAAGAAAGAGAGGAGAGACAGTTAAAAACAGTGACAGAGTTCTAAGTCCAGACTTTTCTGAACCATCTAAAGAAACGAAAGAAAAGCATATTTAATAATTAAAAATGTCTCAGGGCTTTAAAATATTTACATGTAATTTAGCAATACCTTTCCTAAGAATCTACCTCAAAGAAACAATCAATGAAAATGAGACGCAATGATGGTATTCATAACATCAAAAAATATTGTAAATATCCAAGTAATAAGAAATACATAAATAAAACAAGTTATACTACACAATGAGCTTTACTGAACATGAAATTTCATAAATGTACATTCTTATAATGCAATTTATCAGTTTAAAAATGAACACAATGCTAGGATATGCAATGTGAATAAAGCATGAAGCAAAAGAAGACAGATTCAAAAGACTATGCATTGTACTATATGACTCCATTTTATTTCCATTCCGAAATATAGATCAGGAGGTCCCAGGAGTAAGATGTGGGGAGCATGGAGGAATCATCCACAATGATAGTTTACACCTTGGTAGTTTTGTCTGCAAAATATATCCATCAAGTGCATAGAATTATACACTTAGCAGTATGGATTTTACTGCATATAAATGATGCCTTAACTTAAAATTATATAAAACTTTCACAATAAAAGTAAGATACACTACTGAGTAAAAGAATGTGAAAATAAATCTGCACAAAGTAAGATCTTCATGATGTGAAATTATGTATTCCTAGAAACTAAAATGAAAGAAGATGTGCACTACAATGTAAATAGCAGTTAAGTTTGAGTTTTAAATATAAATCTCTTTCTGAAATAGTACTTTTGTTAGCTCCATATCTTATCATGCAAATTCTCAGAGCTGCAGCAAAGTAGAAAGAATATTATTGTAAACACTCATGTAACCACCATCTGCATCCTAGCATTAATGGTTTACTATATTCAGTTGATCACATATCTATCCATAATCAGGACATTGGATTTTTTATATACTTCAAAGTAACTTGCAGGAATCTATACACTTCCCCCTAAATGATTAATAACACCCATCACTTTTGCAAGTTCAATGGTTATTTTGACTTTTATTTTCCTATAAACTTCACATACAATGAAGACCACAAATATTAACAGTACCTTGGCCAGTTTCTAAAAATACATATGTATGCCTGTGTAGTGACCAATGACTATATAAATATCTGGAATGTACCCCCTTACTGTCCCTAATACTGTTATTATTTTATAGACAGATTTTATTTTTCTTAATAATTTTTCATCTTTTCTAAAATTCCTACAATGAGCAAATATTATGCAATCATCAAATAACAATAATAATAATATTAATAATAAATAGTATTAATAACAATCTGGCTTTGGACATCCAAGGCTGCAGAGGACTGCCTTGCACAGCAGCCACTGCAGTCCCTCTGCAGGCTGTGCAAGGAGATGTGCAGACAGCATCTTCCAGCCGAACTCCGGATCTTGTCTCTAGCCCTGAACCCCAAGCAAGCATAGCCTACAGGCTTCCCCTGAAGGAAAAGCCACCCCTGGGCCTTAGCACTTGATGTCAGTTGCTAGGGAGGCCAGGAAGGCCATCCTAGACAGCCTGCAGGCAAGGCACTCTTTGTTGCCATTTTGTTGAGCAGATTGTTTGTTTTCTGTTGTTTCTGCTGTGTTTGGAATGGTTGCATTAGTGTGGATGTCCCCTTTTTTTCCTCCCCCTCACTGGCCACCTTGTTCTGTAGAGACCTCAAGGGGATCGTGAGCCAGGCATGCGTCCCACACCAACCATAGGCCACATCAGTGTCTTTCCAAGAAAGGGAATGGAAGCTTCAGCCTTCATGCCCCAAGGTTGGCTGGCGAGTGTAGGCTCTCCTCACCACCTGCAGCCACCCTGTGTATGCCTGCCATATCTGCATTAAATTCAACTGGAGAGGAGAGTGAAATGGAAGAGAATCACAGCATGAGCTAATCTGAAATAGGAAAATTCAAAAATCAAATCAAATTTCTGTAAGAAAACTCCCCATTGGTTAAGCATAGGCACAGCTTCAGAGATTTAAAATATATCAATGACTCCCACTTCCCTGAGCACATTCTGCTTAGAAAGGGCCCACTGAAGCTCTTTTCACCCTCCTGTGATCCCAACACCTACAAGGCAGAAGCAGGAGGACAGCTGCTAGTTCCAGGCCAGCCTGGTCTACACGGTGAGTTCCAGTCCAGCACAACTCTGTCCCCTGAACGCAGGACGTGGTTTAATTGCCATTGATTTTTAAATTGACATAGTCCTGGAAGGTCCAGCTCATTTTCAACAAAAGTGGTGCGTTTCCTCAGACAAGACTTCAATAGCAGAAGACCATGAGCTCCTTTTCCATCCTGAGGGCAGCTGCTCCTAATGGGCTTTTATAAATCTTAGCATGGTCTCTGCTACAAATGGCTGGAGACTCATGGCTAGCCCTTACCTTGCGTGATAAAAGAAAATAAAGTTTAACAGGTTCTGTTTCTGCCAGGAACAAGTCACCAGGAGACGGACTTCGCCCACACAATGTCTCTGCCCTGCCCCAGCCCTCCCTTCCCTTGGATGAAAACATTTTGTGTCAGGATGTTCTAGCTTGCTAGAGGCGAGGACAACCTGTCACGCTTGGTCTTGAAGTAAATAAATGGGTGTAGCTATCGGAGCATAGGACAAATGAATGTAATTTAGAGAGTAGCGTGCAGCAAATGCATATCGCATTTTATGGATTTGGTGGCACAAATCGCATTCACAGCAATTTTTTACTTTAATCCCTGTAACCACCTTAAGAGACCTCTTTTGCTTTCACAATTACTCTCTGACAGATGAGGAAATGGGACCAGGGGACTTAAAGGGCTGCAGCAACTGAGAACAATAAAACCTAAATCCACTGCTGCCAAGCTGAGCTTACTCCATGCTGTGTCCACCATGTACCTCCCAGGAAAGCCCCAAGAGATGATGCCCCAGAGAGGCCTTCTCAACCCTCACTGTTGCTTTGCTCAGCTAAAATGTGTCCCTGAAATATCTATTTACAAAACTAAGACTCACTGACTCCTGATGGAAGAATAAATGGTATGGGTAAGCCTGCATCATTTAATTATTATTATTATTTTATTTTTATTATTATCATTATCATTATTATTATTATTTCCATCACTAATATTACTAAAACTGACAGGAGAAGGTTAGGGAGATAGCTCAGTAGTAAAGTGTTTTCTGTGATCTGAGTTTGGATCCCTAACATCCATGTAAAAAAGCCACACACATCCCAAGTGCTAAGGTTAGGAGGTAGGGGGGTGAACAGATTTTTGGAGCTCTAGACTAGCCTAGCCCAGTCAATGAGCTCAAAGTTCAGTGAGGGACCCTGTTTCAAAAACTAAGATGGAGAAAAAGAGAGGAAATCACCCAATGTCAACAGTGTGTATATTGTGCTGATTAGTTTATGTCACCATGACTGGCAAGTATTATATTACCCATAGAAAATACCCAAGTTGCCTAATGTCAAATAATGAATAAGAAGTCCAAAGTCTTCTGAAATTGCACCAGATTTAACCTTGAAGTAAAGGGAGCCAACGTGTTCACGTGCAATGAAGTAGAGGGAAGAGGTCTCTACTGAGTGAACTAACCTATTATGCGGCATCAATTTTGAAAATTGACTCCATTCTATATAAACAGCAAGACAAGTTTGCCTGAAGCTTGATTTTGGCCTCCATATTTCTCCAATTTTGACTTCTTTAAAGCCTTCTAATTTCCCACTGTAGAAAACCCCATCCTCAATCACATCCTTCCAGAGACCATCATTAGTCCCATGAGTTACTGCCTCTGCCTAGATTACACATCTCCTCAAAGGGAAAATAACAAGCTGGCTGTGGGACTCATTATTTTACTCTTATTAAATAGGAAGGAAGATCATAAACTCATTCCATAGGGAAGCTCTGAAAACCAAAGGTGAAGTTTCTGCTTATAGTAAATGGAAATGTCCTCTCAATTCTCAACCCATGTGACTCCCAGGCTAGCCTGCTCCCCTACCATTGCTACTCAGCACCCACCCCATTCACCTGTCTCTTGTCTGCAATCATTCAACCCTATAGCCCCTTTTTCTGGTGCTGGAGGATGTCCCGACTGATAAAGCACTTGTAGCATAAACACGAAGAGACAAGTTCAATCTCCCAGCACCCATGTTTTTTAAGTGCCAGGTACAGTGATACGTGTCTGTCATCCCAGGGCTTAGGAAGTGGATCCCTGAGGCTTGCTGGCCAGCCAGTCTTGCCAAAGAGGTGAACTCCAAGTTCAGTAAGAGTCCCTATTTCAGAAAATAGGGAAGAGAGCAGTTGACAATCTATGAAGACCCCTGGATTTCCACATGAATGTGTATTACACAAGCAAACACGAAACTCTATTTTTGTAGTACCCAGCATGCATACAACACTATGTGAGAATCAGCTGACCCATCTCTCTTCCTGGTGCCCATGGTCTCAGGAAGGAAACCAGTCTTCAGGATCAGTGCTGGCTGAAGCTACAGTGATCATCAGCAAAGAGCCTTATTTTAGAGAAATAGAAATCGGGGCCCAGGCGGTGACCTGACTGTTCAAAGGCACATGTGTAAGTGTGGCAGATCTGGTTGTGGCAGCCAGCACTCTTGACACCTCTCCTATTTTTCCATACGACACGCCAGTGGTGAATGCCAAGGTCCAGGAAAGTTTAACCAAGTTGCCTCAGCAAGAAGACCCTCACCAGACATTAGAAGCTGTTGCCTTCAGATGAACCACATAGCTTCCAGGGACATGAATGATAAATTAACATACTCTCTAGGTTACCCAGATTCAGGTACTCCGTGACAGTAGAGCAGTTCCCTATGACAGGCAGAATGCAGGCTCCAGGGAAAGAGACCACAGGAAATAGGAATGAGGATAGTGCCAAAGGTAGTTGGTGTGGGGCAGCGCTAGGGTGAAGTTGACCACCCCACACATAGGATGCCCA